GAACTGGACGGCGCCCGCGACCTTCTCCTTCGACTACCTCAAGAGCATCTACGCGGAGTCGCTTTCGGCGGCGGACTCGCCCCAGGATCGGTGCCAGTTCTTCCCCTACAGCACCTCCTTCCGCGGCCTCCGCGAGGTGTTCGACATGCACCCCGCGCGGGCTGCCATGCAGCCGGGCTCGCTGCCCTGGTACGTCGGCTGGTACGTCGTCGAGGAGGGGTTATTCGCCGATCGTCCCGGTCGCCTGCAACAATGAGGTACCGTTCTGAAAACAGCCGCTTCCTACTCGTGCTGCAGGAGCAACTGCGACGAGCGCGTGGCACGGGAGCTGCGCGCGCACTACGGCCGCCCCTACTTCCTGCCCAACCTGTCCGAGAACAAGAACACGGACTGGCTCTTCATGGGCAGCAGGGGCTACGGCGCCCAGATGCACGTCGACAACGTGCGGCACCCCTCGTGGCAGGCGCAGCTGCGCGGCGCCAAGCTATGGTCGCTGCAGCCGCCCCCGGAGTGCCTGTACGAGTGCGAGTCGTTCTCGGTGGTGGTGGAGCCCGGAGAGATCAGTGAGTGTCAATTTTCCACTAAATCTGCATTCGATCAACCCCCTGAACTTGCCCAGACAGTTGCATTCATTATATTTTTACTGCAGCAGCAAAAAATTAATGAAAAATAGTTCCGATACCGGGAATCGAACCCGAGCCTCCTGGGTGAGAGCCAGGTATCCTAGCCACTAGACCATATCGGATGGGTGAGAACGGAGACGTTCCACGTCTGTTTTGTGCACCCTTCTGAACTGGCAGCGAAAGTTAAAGTACGCATTTTAATTATCCCTCACACAAAAAGTTCCGATACCGGGAATCGAACCCGAGCCTCCTGGGTGAGAGCCAGGTATCCTAGCCACTAGACCATATCGGAGTGGTGAGGAGAGCGACGCTCGGTCCTCGTGAGCTGCTCTGTTGGCGGGGCTCGACAGAAAAAGAACAGTACGAGTGAAAGTCGTCCCCCCGCCCCTGCCGCCGGCCGAGTGGTAGCCGAGTGGGGCGCATCTGCGTCCCTCCTCTCACCGCCGCCCCCACACCTCCCTCTGCCCGGGCGGCGGGGCTTCGGGGGCACTCGCCAAATAGAATCGGCGGCGCTTCTCCTCTCGGGCGACCCGAGTGACCCGCGGTCTCTTTCGGCTCAGTCGGCGCTTTAAACCGGACGCCCCCCCTATTGTCTTTTTTGCAGTCGTGCTGGACACCAACCAGTGGTACCACTCCACCAAGATCGTCTCCGACGACATCAGCATCACGATCGGCGCCGAGTACGACTGACTTGCCGCGGAGGAAGCCAGAGCAGCGCTAGGCACACATCGAGAACAACAACAACATCACCTTAAACAGCAGTACCGATTTCTGCTACCGCTTTGTTGTAAAGTTTTTACCATTAAATCTCTGTATAGTTGTTGTTACACGCGGCCCTTCCCCCGCAGAAGTCGTAGACATGCAGTGGCTCCCGCCGGCGGTGTGTCGGAGCGTGCGGCGCGCGGCGGCAGCGGCGGCCGCCACACGGTTCGCACGGACGCATGCGCTGAGTGCGGTCTACCGTAATGGTAATGGAGACAGACCCCAAGCTGTATGGATTGCTCCAGTTTTGTTCATTTTTCCCTTCTAGCGAGTGCTTCCGCCGAGGCACGCGCCCTGCGCCTCCACCCGCGCCCGCCAAAGCAGCAGCAGCGCCAGCGCCCCGCCACCCCGCCGCCGCCGCCTTCAAAGACAACGCCAACCCCTCCGCCTTCTTTACGCCCCCTCTGCGCGCACCTGACGAGGTATACACACATGTGGCAGTTTTGCTCGAGAGTCCCCCCCCTTCCATCCACTTTTCTCCTCCTCCCCGTTTTCTCCCGCTCGTGCCCGCACGCAGGATGCACCAGCCGAGTGAAATCAAAGGGAAGGGAAGGAAAGGGAAGG